ATTTCTTTTTAAAAATAAATTCCGACCTTGACATGGTCACTTAGAAAACGTGATTTTAAGAGGGGTTTCTTCTTCGTGTTTTTCCAGAAAGCATCGTCTTGGTCCCGAAAATCCCGCGCAAATTTCATTTTTCTGGTTTATGCCATTTTCTTCAAAACTTGAGATTTTAGTACTTGATACTATTCATCGACTTTTTTTTAAAAAAATGTGTTCGACCGATCCAAAACTTCCATAGGTCTTGTGGGTGTATTTTAAGGTTGCATTTTCAATTTAGGCAATTGAAAAACCTCCCGACGCCCCATTTCTTTTCCTTTGGCAGCAGCTCGGAAAGATTTTGATCCACTTGACCTGATTTATTTAGGGACATTTTGGGCATTTTACAGCGCACTTTTTTTTCTTTTTTTTTCTGTTCAAGTGATTGGGTAGAAAACTTGACTTGGGGGGGGGGGGGGGGGGGGTTCACAAAAAAGTCCGTTTCGATGCCCGTTTTTGTTCTCAGTTGTAGCAGCAGTGGGCTTACAGCAACAGTAGCTGTCATGGCCTTCGTCGGAACGCCGAGACGTCAATTTTGTTTTTGACCTTTCTCCCTCGTCTAGACTCCAATTCGAGTGAACTCTTTTTTTTTTTTTTTTAACTTGACTAATTTTTCGTTGTCAATCCAACGGTGTACTCGATTGCACCCGGATATTTCTAGATAATTTATAATTTACCCTTTTAGCTTTATTGCTCGTTTTTCTTGTTTTGCCGTTTCTTCTTCGTCCGGATTCCGAATCATGCGATTCTTGAGTCCATCTTGATTTGTTTTTTTCTGTCTTTTCATTGGTGTGCCCGGTGGCACCCGAATTTATATTTTTATAAAATTACCATCTTGCCCCTGGAGACTTATTTGTCATATTTTCGATCTTTTACTTCAGCATCAGTTCTCATTGAGTTCCACGACCTCATGAAAGGTCACTTTGACTTCTTACAGTCTTGTTTTCCGTTTTCGCTTTCGCATTCGGATCCGTTATCGGGTCAATCTTCGGTTCATCACAGGACGCCCTGACTTGTAAAACTAGAGCCGTCACAAAATTTTATTATCAAAATAGTTAGGGCTTTTATCATCAACAAGAAGATTTAAATACATTTCAAATTATTTCTTAAAAATCAGATTAAGGAAAGCACACAATACCAAAAGAAAACTAAAAGGGAAAATTATCATCACCATTTGCATTAATGGAATTGAATGGCTCATGAAATTTTGATAGTTCTTATATATTTCTTATACTAACAAGATCAATTACTTTGTTTAACTCCACCATTTCTTCATGTGTGAAATTTTCCATTATTACATATAAAAATCAATATTAAACTCTAATGAGAGAGAAGATAAATAATACAAAGTAGAGAATAAACGTTAATTGGGGAGAGAGAGCTAAGGAGACCAAGATATCTTTCCTTAATTGTGGCATTTGAAAAAATATTATTTATTTATTTATAAAATTAGGGATATAAGTGTCATGTATTTTAAAAGAATAGTGCAATTGTAGAAAAGTGGAGTGCGAATATCGCCTCCCTTTGAGGGGAAAAAAAATAAAAAAATGTTCTGGAAATAAATGGGGTAGTGCTGGTGCCACCGGGCTGGGTAAAAAAGTTGAATAGGGCCAAGGATGTGGTGGAAAAGCCCCCTGCTTAGACAGTTTTGGGTGGAGGTTTCTAAACGGTTGTGGGGGCGAAAGAGGGTACACCCTCCCAAAATTGCCCTCATTGTCATCTCTAATTAGGCCATTACCTGATGCTGTGAAAAGCTAATGTAAATATTTTTATCTCCTACACAAATTATGAGCAAATAATAAAAATTTAGAAATAGATAATTAAGATAGGATTGATTAAATGGAAAAGTGATTCTAATAAAATATTGTATATGCTCTTAAAATTTGAAGGCAAATTTATTTTAAAAAATAGAGAATTATTAAATGAATTTATTTCTTTATTTTTTCCTTGGTAAAAAATGTGAGTTACGCGGTGCCAAAGCTATTAATTAATTAAGTTGTAATTAACTCTCTGAATAACCTAGAGGAAGTGATTAGGTTAACTTGCCCAATTTTTGTGATTGATTAATCTACCCACAAATATGATTAATTAAACATCCACAACCACAAAAATAAAATTTGAAAAATAAAGCAAGAAAAGTAAAGATCGAAAGATGACACTAGGATTTTTAGAGAGAAAACCAATTGGAAAACCTCGAGGAGTTTTGCATTGTCCCGAGCATAAACAATCCACTATGTATGAAACAAAATACAGCAAATTTTCACTCAGACTCACACCCCTTCACTCTACCAAGACCAAACTTGTTGAACGCCCTAGCTTAGCGACCTCCCATCCAGCAGGTCTCGACTCAGACTTATGCCTTGAACTTTGTAGAAGGATTGATGGTAGATCAATAATATTCCACAAGTGCCTTGACCCCTTCAAAGTGTGATCTTCTTCAAATCTGAATTTTATGTGAATATAGATAAGATCCAGCTTCTCAAAATTTCTGAATCTTCAATTAAACTCCAATTCTAATGAGATAGAGAACAACCCTCCTAAATCATTCTGTGTTTATGTGTGTGATCTCAAAACAAAATCAAAGAAATCAAGTTTGATTTTCTAAAAATTATTTCTCAATGGCTCTCTCAAAATATCTGAATTTTTATTCGAAAAAGCCGTATTTAATTTTAAGTAACAGAGAGATTATATAAAATTTTGGAAGACCTATAAACTCGTAGAAAATAAGCCAATTTCGTGCATAATCAACATAGAAGAAATCTACCCAAAATAGAAAGCCAAAACAGACTAGGATTGAAAGTTACCATCAACCGGTTTAGGAGGGGCTGAACCGATTCAAGTTGGGCAGAAAGAATTTAAAAACCAACCTTTGGTACTTGAACCGGTTCAAGTTGCCCAGACTTGAACTTCGCAAAAAGGCCTTCAAAAGTTGAATCGGTTCAGAAAAACTTGAACCGGTTCAAGTTAAGCAGAATGAAAATTTTCATAAAATGTCTAGTTTTAAACCACTCAATTGTCCTTACACACTCACTTACCTTCCTAAAGCATTATTTTCATCATCACGGAGTGTATCGAAGCATAAACATGATCACTTCTTCAATTCCGATTACAATCTTGAATCTTGATGATTCGAACTGAAAATTTGCAACTTGATCGGATTCGTTTTGGCAATGAAGTTAACCAAATTACAAATTTATATTTCACAAAAAAATTACTCATCCATTTGCTCTAATAAAGACTCTAACTCCGTCTTTACTTTGAAATGTAGAAAATATATCATTAAATTACAACTCTTAGTTTCAAATTAATTTATTGAACAAGAATAATAATAATAATAATAATAATAATGGAATAAAATGATAAAGGTAAAGTCAAAATAAATATTTAAAATTAAAGAAAATATGATAATATGTGAATTTAATCGAAGTTATGACACTAACAAAAAAGCAGAATAATGATATCTAATTGGGACAAGTGTAGAAAACACCCATAAAGTATAGTACTCCGTGTAACACTTTTACCCATATTTAAAAAAAAAATAAGCAAAAAACATATATAATCTTTTTACATTGTGCAAAAATAACCCTCAATCATAAATCTGACATAAATTAGTGCTGTAATAACTGTTTTGTCCTTTTATTTTTTCGAAAATGCCCAAGGGGGTATATATGCTACTAATATCATAGTGTAGGGGTGTTATATGCACATTACCTTATATATATACATACATACATATATATATATATATATATATTTGAAACTTTTTTCTCTATATATATCTTTAAACTTTTTTTTTTTTTTTTTTTTTTTTTGAACTTTGAGAATTTGAAGAATAAGGATTTGATTTTTTTGAGATTCCAGTTTACCGTCTTCTACTAAATTTGTTTTATTTATTTATTTTTCGTACCAACACTGTTAAAAAAAAAAAAAAAGAAACACATCAATATCAGTGTGCACTGTTTTCGAAGTTTAGAGCATATTTGTTTTCTTTAGTTTGTACTTTATTTTTTTTATTTTTTATTTTTTATCTTTACTTTTCATTTATACTTTTATTTTATATTTTTATCTTTACTTGTCCATTGTCAGGGTTCTCCAATAGTATCATTTTACAAAATTATTTATTTTTATATATTTTATAAAATAGTTCAGTTATGGTAATTTAGTCAACTTAGGGTTTAAACCTATTTGCACCAAATTGAAACTTTAGGAGTGTTTTTTGCACGTGAGAAGTGTCCTTCAATAGTGTCTTTTTCGGTCATTTTATAAAATTATTTATTTTTATATTTTTTATAAAATGGTTCAGGAAGGATAATTTAATCAATTTAGGATTTAAATTTGTCAGAGGGACTTATTTGCATCAAATTGAAATTTTAGGATTGTTTGTTACACGTAAAAAGTGTGATATGCATTATAAACATACTTATTGAAGAGTATTTTCTGCACTTGATCCTAGATAATTCATTTAGATAATTCATTTAGTTGGCATCATATCTTTAACAAAAAGTTCTGTTTGATTTGAGGGTCCATATTTTTATTTATTTATTTATTTATTTATGTTTTTTTTTTTTTTTTTAAGAATCTTAGGTATATAACTCAGTCCTGAGTGCTGAGTCCGCTTGTACATTAATTGGAGAAAGAAAGAAAAACGGGGGAAAAAAAAAAAAGTCAACAACAGTGAATTAGGTTAGGGTAATCTAAGGAAAAAAGTCAACAACCGTTAATTAGGTTTAGTCAATTATTTTTTGTATTTCTCGGAAAGTGCCTCTATCTGACCGTCAAGAATGTTGAACTAACAACAAACGTAAAGCGAGTGAAGTTTGAATAAGACTTGAACTTGGACGTTTCTTTAACCCTGTTTTTATTATAGAATATAGAAATAATTCAACAACAAAAATAAAATTGACTTCAGTTACAAAATCAATTAGACTTATTTCACCCATGAGCCAAACTTGACTTCAATTTGCAGATGAGTTTATAAAATTAAGTTCTCTCATTAGTGATGACAAATACAAAAGCTAATATATATGTGTGCACACACACACAAAAAAAAAAAAAAAAAAAAAAAAAAAAAAAAAAAAAGCACTAATATCCATATAACTCATCAATTAGATGAAAATTTGAAACTATACTTGTTTATTCATTGCATTAGGAAAAGAATAGACATGGTACAAAATCTACACCATTTGACTCTATGGTTGACAATTTGAGTTTTTAGAACTAAAAATTGTTCCTCTGTGAAAAAGATGAGAGAAAAATAGAGTGTAAAGAATTAAGGATTGCCGTACAAAAAGTGGCACACCCGCAACCAGAAATAAACATTTGGTAGTAAAATGTCAGCAATCCCAGCATCCAAAAAATTTTCCAGAATTCTGACCCATTGGAATTTGGCTAAAAACTCAGAAATTCCAAAGGAATGATGATTGTTCCGAAAATACCCCTTCGCAATTTTCATCACCATAATCAACGCTAGGCAATGGTGGAACATAAAAATCACTGGAGAGATCATCAAAACCCGGAAATATACCATAATCCGACACATTGTGTTCCTGACCCATGTTCGTAGATAGATCCAAGAACGACCCTTCCAGTCCACCCGTTTCACTATCCAAATGGACTGCTCCATCCGAAACCGAATGAGACGGTGATGGAGACTCGGTATGCAGTCCGGAGGACGATGACGAACGATCCGAATGAATATTCCGGGGCTCCGAATGACTTATTCTGGCTCCCGAACTACTACTTGTTTGGGGATTCGAATTCGCAAACCGTGCTGCAGCAGTTTGGATTTCCGCCGGAGTAAGAGACCTCCCGCCCACGATGTCCGGCGGGTTATCGGGGAAATTGAACTTCGCTGTGCGGCCGCGCAAGCAAAAAAGGGCGGCGTCGAAAGCCCGTGCCGCCTTCTCCGGCGTGTCGTAAGACCCTAACCAAATCCGTTCCCGACTGTTGGGTAGCCGGATTTCGGACACCCACTTGCCCCATTTTCGCTTCCTCACGCCCTTGTACTTGGAATCACTCCTCTCAGATGGATTTCTGCTCATCGGTCTCATCCTCAAATGGCAAGTGCTGTCTTTCTTTATGGATGTGATTGTGACAAATAAATTTGTTGTTACTGATTATGGAAATTGGGTACTTGATTTTTCGAGTGAGATAGTTCGAGCAAGTCTCCGTTGATGAGGTGTGTCTGGGATTGGCGGCCTATATATATGAGTGAGTATGTGACTGTGCGTGGTATTAGTACAGTGGAGGGGGGTCAACAGGGCGTGTTGATCAGAAAAGCAAAGAGAGAGAGTGTAAAAATAGCGGACACGTGGAGGATGAGAAAGGTAAGATGATGTGATCTACGCGGTGGAGTAATACTGCTGATGTTATCACGTGTGTCTTATATTCCTCGTGCCTCATATTTGTAGTCAGAAAACGACAATTTTTGTAATTATGTCTTGGAAACAATGTGGGAGCCCACCCGATTAGCATTATTTTTTTAAAACAATTCTCATTTAATATTATTTTGACCTTATCATTATTCACACACTTCAATTTTCTCTTCTTCTTTTTTTTTCCTTATATTTTTAGTAATTAAACATTCTGTTTGTCACATTTGGAGGGTTTGAATCCCTCATTTTTATATTAAGATGGTTAAAGTCATGCAACGTAAGTGGAGAGTTGAATGGTCATACATCTTTGCTAATTGAAATGTTATTATATAAATCTAATTTTCTCCAAGATTAAAAAAATAATTAATGGGTTTAAGGGAGCATATCAGCTTCCCTCAAGGGCATAACAATATTTGTAAATATAATTTAATTCATATATGTTACATGTAGAATTGAACTTACATAGCCATATATTTTTTAATTGGTAACTGGTAAGGCATTAATTTCAATTTTGTTAAATTAATTTAATTAAAAAAAAAAAAAGAAAAAAAAAAAGAACGATTTCCTGTAACATAATACTACCTAATACTACTTTTTAACATACAACTAATTGATTTGGCCCGGACGAATTATATGGGTAAAGAAGTCTAACGGTGATAAGGGAAGGAGCAAGAAAAACATAAGGAACTGTGCCTATCACTATATATGAGAAGAAGCAAAAGAAGGAGATGACGACCTTCGTTGTGGGGCGTGGTTTTCTTAGTTGTCAAATCATGCTTACATATTAGCTTGCGTATGCTCATACATAAGCCATCTTCCAGAGAACGCGTCGCTTACTGCCGTTGCTTTCTGACGACTCTCTTGTTGTTGTTGTTGTTGTTGTTGTTGTGATAAACAGACAGTGAGACTAGTCAACTCTATTTCTTTTATCAATCTTTTTTACTGCGTATAATACAGTACCATTACACACTCACGTATGTCATAATATGTCATCATCTATGACTTCCTACTTATTATGTCAGCTCCGCGCCTCTGCACGCCCTCTCTTTTTCAACCGTCTCAATTTTCCCCTTCATTTGTAACCGAAGGAAAAATGACCCTATTTAAGCCAAATTATATTGATTTGTAATTACTACTAATTATAATTATAATTAGTTAGTCATACCATGTCAATATTACAAGGGTAAATTATAGTGATCTTTTCTATAATTTTGTTAATGTACATTAACCTTGCATTTTGTTCATCAAATTATATTAACCTCTTGTGTCAGACTTATTAAATTTGTAATTACATTTCTGTCCTTATATGTAATGTATTTTATTACAATAAACATATCTCCTAACAGTAAAATTAAAATTTGAAAGTTACAAAAATTGCTCACTTCAGCATTTTTTTTGTCAGTCTATTGTCAACGAAGAGGAGGTATGTGTTATTTACATACAAATTTCAAAAGATGAGTTAGGAGAGGGTCAATGTAATTTACCATTGTTATTATCCTTACATTAAATTCTTTCCTTTTCAATTCAAATACTGTGACTCTCTGTGGGTGGGTGCAAGATATTGGACGAATTATTATACTGATAGGCTACAGGTGTCAGATATGATCCCATATTATGTATGTTTAACACGACACGATGCATTTAAAAACTGCGATGACAGCAAACCCATTAAAATTTTGCACAAGAGTAATATCAGGATGAATGGCCTCTTAAAAAGTCTAATTCGAAGAGTCAAAAGACAGTATTGCATCATGTACATAATAGTGTTGAAAATTTTGAAAGCTAAAAAATTTGACTGAAATACAAATTTGATTATTTTAAAATTAAACCAACGCGCTTGGAAATTTTATTTTGAATACTGCTTTCTGGAGCACTATTAAGTTAACCTTAAAAATAACAATCACTTTTTGATAGCTTCTTAGAAAGTGAATGAAAATGAATAGTTTAAAAGTGATTATACAATACAAGAACAAACACCAACATAATCACATGTACTGTTTGGTTTTCTAATATTTTTTAAACTGTTGTTTAGTGACTGCCTTTCTTTGTTTTTCTTTTTTTAAAGCCCTAAGTTGAACTTTTTCCTATAATTTTAATCTGCCACATGTTTCATACTTTCAGTTCTCCTGAAAATTGATATGAAATTGCATAATCAACTATTATATATTTGCTGAACTCAGAATGTCCATATTCTATTTTCCTTTTTTGTTTTGGTCCCCTTTAATTTTTTACTATATATATATATATATATATATATATATATATATATTCCTTTTGAGTTAAATAACAAAACATACGAACCTAAACAAATAAGAAGAAAGCAAATTTACTTGCATTAAAGAAGGGAAAAGTATTAATTAGTGAGAGTCACGCACGCCCCAAATGTTGGTCAAAGCAAGGCCTATTACCGGATGGGTTGGTACAGGCTCAACACGGGAATAGCGAAGACCATAAAGTTTTTTTTTTTTTTTTTTTTTTTTTTTGGGTAAATGAAGACCATAAAGTTAAGTGCTTCTTTAACATTTTTTTTTTTTTTTTTTTTTTTTTTGCACTTTTTTGATTTTTTTTTTTTTTTTTTTTTACAAGGTTAGAAGAGTTATAAGTTAAATTAGCAGATACAGAGAGTCGAAGTTTGGCACTCCAAAATCCACCAAAGGTACTAACATACTGGACTATCGAGACATCTACATATATTTATTTGTGAAGTAATGTCAAATTATATAAATATGATATTCTATTTAATATTTATTTTACTTTCATAAATATTGTGGAGATTCATGACCAAGACGAAAATTGAATTTGAAATCGATATGTAAATGACAATTAGGTTCCGTTTGTTTGGATGTATAATATTTTTTAAAAAATAATTTTTTAAAATTTTTGGTATTTAGTTATTGTAAAATATTTACGAAGAAAAAATAAATAAAATCTAACAAAAAATAACTTACTCATCAGTTTTCGGTAAATTATTTTACACACCTCATCTAATAGATTCGAGTTCAATCTCACCATAGATATTTAATAGATTCGAGCTCAATCTCGCCATAGATATTAGCTCAATCTCGACATAGATATTTATCAAGCACCGAAAAATAAAATAAAATAATATTTTACCTAAATTTTTTTTTCTTTACGTCAAAACAAACAAATGGAGTCAAAGGTTTGATAATTTATGCATTTAAATTACTCCACTTTTTTTTCCCCATACCTATGTTTTAATCATGGTTAAATCACTCTCACCTCCCCTGAGATTTTGGGTAATTACCCATAGCTTAAAGTTTTGACAAAACCACTCCGACCTCCTTATGTAAATCTAGCACAGAACCCCAATATATAAGTGTAAGATTATTTATTAATTGTGTGGCCCACATGATTTAGACACGTGATATATTTCATTAATTAATGGTTAAGTAAATAGATATCAAAAAAATATTATATTATTTGGTCAACTTATTAATTACCTTTTTGGTAATTAATTATTGGAGAATTGTTTTCCTATTTGTTCCTTACTTTGATGGAAAGTGGATATTAAGTTACTAAAAGGAAAATTGGTCATCTCTCTGTCTTTTATAAAAGTACATATATTCCATCAATTATGTACGCTAATAAAAACAACACGTATAATATTTATTTGTGCAAAAGGTCAAAAGAGAGAAATCAGTTTCCACGCTTTACCTATTGTTTGGAGTTGCAGTTTAGTTCGTTGTTAAAGGACCTCGACGTTGGACTTAATCTCAACAAGGTTTGCTATCACAGATCGATGTATTTATATTTATGCATTATAGGAATGTGAAGATAATGAAGTTTTATAATTTTGTGATTCATATTTATTTGTGATTAATGATTTGTACGAATAATTAAAGTTGGCATGTGGTATCAGAGCCTATGGCTTAGAGGCTCATTATTTTCCACTAAAGATTGCATAAATAATATGTGTCAGTAAAAATTATAATTATATAATTTATTTATTTATTAGGATCATGTACTGTTAGCGGATTACAATGAAATTGGATTCGGATTGTACTTTATCATAGATTTAAACAAGATATATCTAGCATGTATTTATTTATTGATTTTCGTGAGCAATGCAATGGTAAACTAATAGACACACAAAATATGTGTTAGTTTCTTGATTTTTGTGCGTCACTGAAATAGCTTATTGAATTGGAAAGTTTTAATAGAATTATGTTTGTTATTGTTCTGACGAAACTTATTATTATATTAATTGATGTCTAATGATTTCAAAGATTCTATTTTAATTTTTTAAAAGTTAATAAATTATTAAATACATAAAGTATATGTATTTATTTATTTTATTATCTGAATTTTTAGAATAATATGTGAGTTTAGAAATTTGATTTCATTGGACATATAAATAAATTATAATTTTGTACTCAAACATACATACATATTGGAGAATCAATTTTAGATTGATTCAATTATAATCTTCAAGTCCAAAAATAAAAATAATATATTTTATTATGTATATAAAGTAAAATTGATATTTTTATTGATTTTTTAGACTATTAAGTTTCTGGAATTGAACCTACTTAAATTTGGATTGATCAGTGTGAGTATATGTGTATAATGTTGTAATACCCCGATAATTTTAAAGGATTTATTAATTAGGATTAATTGTTTTATTTTATTTTTCAATGATTTATTTTATTTTATTGAGTGCTAGATTAATTATCTTATTTTAATTAAGTTATATTTCGTGATTATGTATGATGATTGATTGTTTGTGTGGTTGATTATTGATTGAATTATTGGTGTGTTGATTTTATTGGTATTGTGTGACTTAGTTGTAAATTCTTGTTTGTTTATGTGCTTCATGTAATTAGTTATTTTA